TGAGCTGCGCAGTTACCTTGGCTTGCAGATCACCCGGGACAGAGCACGCCGCACCATCACCCTGAATCAGTCACACATGGTGCAGCAGGTCCTTCAGCGCTTCGGCTTCATTTGGTCCTCGGCACAGGCCACTCCTCTGGCTACAGGTCACTCGCTCTCAGCTCCACCTTCGGACGAGTCCGTAGAGCCGAGTGGTCCTTACCCAGAGCTAGTGGGCTGCCTCATGTACCTGATGACCTGCACTCGTCCTGACCTTGCGTACCCTCTTTGCCTTCTGGCTCGCTACGTGGCTCCTGGTCGGCACTGAAAGGTGCACATGGATGCTGCTAAGAGGGTACTGCGCTACTTGTGCAGTACATCGGGCATGGGGCTCGTGCTTGGAGGGCGGAGCTTAGTTGTCCTCACTGGACACTCAGACGCTTCTTGGGTTGACGACCAGGCTACACAGCGGTCGTCACATGGTTACACTTTCAGCCTTGGATCCGGTTCTGTTTCTTGGCGGTCTACACGCTCGTCTTCTGTTCTCAGCTCCAGTTGTGAGGCTGAGATCTAAGCCACAGCCATGGCTGCACAGGAGTTACGCTGGCTCACCTACCTGCTGACCGACCTGGGAGAGCGGCCTCGTTCTCCTCCAGTTCTGTACGTAGACAACAAGGCCGCCATTGCCTTGTGTCAAGAACAGACTGAAGCACAGAACGAAGCACATCTCTCTGCGTTTTTTCCTGGCTCGAGAGTTGCAGCAGCGGGGTCAGCTTCGCCTTGCTCTCGTGGTCACTCAGGTCAACATTGCTGATATATTCACCAAGGCACTTCCGTCTGGTGACCATCAGCGCTTTTGTACTTTGTTGGGCCTAGTGCCTACGTTTCCACACTTGCTGTAGTCTCTGCTTGTACTGTGATCTATATATATATACCTGCATGCTTGTTCTTGCTAGATAGAGATCACTGTGCTGTTCTTGTTGCTTATATACCTCTGCATGTGGACTGGCCTTGTGGCCGTTTGCTTGTGCTCAGTGTGTGTGGTGACGTTGTGATCCACCCTGAGCTGTGTTTTGTTTCTTCTCTTGACTGGTCTTGTGACCATTGCTTGCTCTGGCTATCCCCCATTTCGCCTATGGGGGTGTGTCAAAACATATGCATATTATTATCTAGGCTATATTGGGGCTAGCCTTAGGGGGTACAGAAACATTCTCGACACTCTAGTTTTGTACCCCAACCTTCACCTAATCAAATCATTCCTTCCTAGCTAATCTCGACAAGTGAGAGGTCCCCACTATGCATTTTCTGATTATTCTGTAACAGAATGGGATTACCGTATTTAATGTTACAGATATCCAAACGTGTATTAACACAATCGATACAATACCTGTCCAGGAGTAGTATCACAAATTGAATCTTTCTGACCATTTACTATTTTGAAGTTATTTCCATGCAACGTTTTGCCTTACCGTTTATCGGAGTACACAGTACCGCATTAGCGTAAACAATGTTATTTTGAAATGTGAGCTGTTAGGGAAAGGGCATCGAAAGTGTTTCTGTGTGTTCGACTCTGAATTTCGCTCAGAAAACTTGTAGCGCGTGTGGCAGGAACGCACAGGATTGGGCCCCAAATACTCGGGGGGTCCTCTGTAGGTGACTTGTGGGTAACATCAGGATCACCTCTCGGGGTCACCTCAGTGTGACAACGAACTGAACTTCGATCGGGGGTAACATAGGGGTATCACTGCTCGCGACAATGGGGTATCACTGTTCGGGGTAACACTGATGTGACCTTGGGGTTGAAATTCGCGGGGGAATTTTTTGGGATGTGGCAGTAGAACGGTGGGTGCGCGCGGCTCCCCGCCTCTCGACTCCGCCACTCTCGACAGCCCGTCGGCGTCGGCACGCTTCCTAGTCACAAGCGCCGCCGCCACTTGCCGAGCGCTCCCCTCTCAGAGGATAAAAATGGCCCGCCGCAGTCAGATCAAGAAGCAGGAGGAATTTTTGCGCTCCCATTTGCTTTCAGTATAACACCTCGCTACCCACTGGGTCAAAACGAGGGTGTTAGTTGGCGCAGCGGAGTGCCCTTAACACAGCCCACAGGCGTTACACTCGTCCCCCCCTGGCTCCAACGTCCCTGTTGACCTCGGACTTCAGGGAGTCGGCCCCCTGCAGCTGGGACCTAGATTTCAGGATCGTTCACTGGGTTCGAGCTGGTAACCACATTTAAGTTCTCGCCACAGGCGGAAAAATGTGGACCAGCCGGGACTCGAACCCTGGGCTCTGATACCAGTATTACACCTCGCTACCCACTGGGTCAAAACGAGGGTGTTAGTTGGCGCAGCGGAGTGCCCTTAACACAGCCCACAGGCGTTACATTCAGGGCCTTGGTAGTCTCACGGTAGTAGTTACGGCGTGCTCTCCTTTCCGGCCTCTCCGTCGGACGTGCCGTGAGTCACGCCATTACCAACTCCGTGAGATCCCCGGTGTGAAGTCTCTCCCTCCGTGCTGAATCACGCGAAAATTCTCCCCTCCGTGCTCCGTTCAACTCCTCGCGGACCTAGTCCGGACCTACTCCCACGTACTCCCAGGCCTACTCCCAGGCGTGGCTTCCAGCAGCCTATCCAATGGCGCTTGTTAAGCGGAGCCCCAGCTGCCTCCCCTTGTTACTGCTGCTGCTCCTCACGGGTAAGCAGCATGCGGCTTTCAGTGGCAACTTAGCAGAGCCATCCATTCCATGCCATGGATCCGTCATCCCATCCCAAAGCCCTCTGAGGCTGAATGAACGGAGGACTACAGCTTAGCATTTGAGTCAGAAATCGTCATTCAATCGTATTTCTGAAAAATTTTCGCCCTTCTCAGTACTATCATACCGTATGGAGTGGCGCACGGCACGTCTCTTCTCCCTATTGATCTGTAAGCACCGCTACGAAATATCCCAGGCTCTTGCTGTGCCTAGAAGTAGTAGCCGTGGCGATCGGCGGCTCCCGCCGCGTCCGGCGTGTTGTGTCATATGGGTCCGCCCCCTCATGATGTCCCTCGCTGCCGCCACCCTGTCAGGTACGGCGTTTCTCACTGCCGCCGCGTTTACACCAATCTTCCCGCGCGCCTGCAGCGGCGGTGGCGGCGGCGGCGGCAGCAGCAGCGGGGTGTCTGCGCCTCAGTCCAAACCCTTGTGGAAAGGGAAAGCGTTGAGTAAATATTTGCCGCTCTATTTCCTGCCCTCGCTTCGCGGTGTTGCCAGTCGCTAGGTAGAAGCAGCAGGTGCACTGTACTGTGCCCACCTCCTCCAATGTTCAGCGAACGAGTTTTCATGTTGTCTTCAATGTGTGGTGGGATTGCTGCGTTGCACGTGGTTCTGCATCTCGCCCCATCTGCTGGGCCATGTATCTTACACGACTAACTTCTCGCAGCCACGTGGCTTTTTCATTACTGAAAAGTTATCAGGGCATCTGATGGCGTTTCACTGTTGCTACTACTAGCACTCGACCCCACTTGTCCTTCCACGTCCCTCCCCCGATCTGTTCCATTCCCACTACCAGTGAAGTACGTGGTCAAGTTTCGCCCCACTAAGGTCAAGGGAAAAGTGGTCGGCGACAAAGGGGCATCTGCGAAACTTGTGATCACGGGGGTGATGTGAGTCCTTGTTAACTTCTATATAATTTCACTCTCAGTAGTGTAAAGGTTGAGGCGTTTCGGCGCAATCACGGTCGTCCGTTTTGAACGATGATAGGAAGGAGGGGTATGACGGGAGAGGGTGGGTTGGTTGAGTCGGAGTCTAGGGGGCGAAGGAAAACCTGCTGCTTTCATGATTGTTCATATTGGGGAAGTTCCTACTCCTCCAGCGAACCAGCCCTCTCTCCTCCCCTCCTTCCACCTTTCTTTGCACGCCCTTCCGCTTCCCCTTCCCTCGCACCACCTTCCACTTTCCCGCTTCCGTCCTCCCGCCCCCACCACCATCCCTTCTTCGTTCCCCATGTAACGCCCCTATACAGGCGCAGCGGATGCCCTTCAACCCACTGTGTATGCCGCAGGAGTTACACCCTCCACCCCCAACCCCCACATTCCCTTCCCCCGCCCCTTCCTCCCCACCCCACCCCTCCTCCCGCCCCCCTCCCTGAGAGGCTCCTCACCCTCCTTCCCATTTTCTCAACCCCAACCTGTCCGCTTTGTCCTCTCTCTCCTGGTTCGCTCTCGGCCCTGTTGGCAGGTACTCATCAACTTTGTACTATCTCAGAAATCGTTTTCGCACCTTGAACGTAAATTCTGGTGGGTCCATCCCTACTGTTGGCAGTGGTCCTTCCTGCACTTCTCCCACAACAGTTTCCTTCGCCTATTCTATGATTAACATCACGAGTAACAAGGTCGGACGCCGCAAGCACTACAACTTCAAGTACTTGGATGAACTAGATCACTCGTGTACGGTTGCTGATCTTCGTGCTGCGGTCGCCCTGCTGGTGTCTCGACTAGGCAAATATCCGAAGGTGTATCATTCCAAAAATCTTAATGCACTCTGTGGGAAGGTGCGGAAGTTGGTTTAATGGATGTCTGTAGTGCACAACCGTATGTGAATGTGCGTCATTAGGCTGCTTTGATTTTTGTGTCAACTTACACATTTATACGGTAATCGAGTAAAGCATAAGTGCATACACTTATATAATGGCAAATATAGAACGGGGGAAGGAGGAGTGAGGGAGGGGGGGGGGAGGGGGGGGGGGGGGAGGCCTTCGATCTGGGGGTCTTGGGGCCTTCGGACGAGGGGCTGCGGAGCCGTCGATCAGGGGGCGGGGTGGGTCGTGCAGACGGGCTGCGGAATGATGGATTACCTGTAGTGATACAAGTAGGAGTGTCGAGAGAAAACCTATACCCTTACTAAGCAACTCACTACAGCCTACCAAATGTAACACATAGATAGTTTGATGTGTGCCGCTATAATGTCCCCTCTAACAATGCATTAGGGATTGCGGGGGATCACAGTACTCTAAAGCGGCTGAAACATTTAACCAGGCCCCACTTTCTTTCTACACATCTGCCACAAACCTACCACTATCCTCTTCCTCGAGAAGCCAGTCTAGCTTTGCATCGAGCGCATTGTGACTGAAAACCTCAGAAAGCCCATCCCCATCCTCCCCACCCTGCTGCTCTCTAGCTCCCCCACTGCCTGCAGCATCACCATCCCTGCTCGTTCCTGCGCTGGCCGGCAGGGCAGGGCGCCGGGGGGCGGAGAGGAAGCGCTTGAGAGCCTTGATGGAGCGGAGCAGGTCGGTGACAGTGGGGCGGGAGAGGGGGTCGGAAGCGGTGCAGGAGAGGGCGAGGCGCACCATGGGCAGCACGATGGCGTCGGGTGCTGAGGGCAGGTGGGCGGCACGGATGTTGGCTGTGAGGTTGCGCGATACCAGGTGCTGTGCCTGCATGCACAGGGATGGGATCATTTTCAATGTGTTTGATTGGGAGCGGGAGGAATGAAAGGAGGGAGACGGATGCGTAAGGGCTAACACACCATCAGTCGCACAGCCACTTGTGTCTAGCCGAACCGTACCTGCTTGCCATACCTGATCGCTACCACAGTTACTTTCCTTGTGGTGTAGTGGATTAAACGTAATCTGTGGTGCCTTACCTGCCTTGCCTGGCCCCCTGTTGCTTTGCCTTGCAGAGCAATAACTTTGCCTTACCTACCCGTTGTTTCTGAATCCTTTATACGATGCAATCAGAAGGACCCTTAGAGAGAAGAAAGGTCGCGGGGAGTCCCTGTGCAGTGTGCATGCATGGACGAGACGAGACCACGTTTCTGTAGCAGCTCTGCGCTGAAACAACAACGAGATTAACAACCCTGTGAGCCCCCCACACCGCACCGCACCGCACTCACCCAGTCCCCAATGTGCACTAGGCTGCGCCGCTACAGCCACTGCTCATACTGCGTTTTGAGACGTCTCACAACACAACTCGTCGAGAAAATCGAGATGTTTCAAAACTCACCCAGTCCCGGATGTGCACTGAGCTGCTGCCCCTACAGCCGCTGCTCATACTGCTGCTACTGCCACCACCCCCACTGCCGGAGCTGCTACTGCTGCCACCCCCGCTGCCAGAGCTGCTACTGCTGCCACCCCCGCTGCCAGAGCTGCTACTGCTGCCACCCCCGCTACCAGAGCTGCTACTGCTGCCACCCCCGCTGCCAGAGCTGTTGCCTTGTCGATCGGAGTTGCGTGCAGCTGTGGGTATCAGTGCAGGCCGACCAGTGATGAGCTGCAGCATCACCACTCCAATGCTGGCAGGTGCGGATGAGGGGATGGGGGAGGGCGGAGAAGAAAGTGTGGGCGGGAGGTGAGAAGGGCTAGGCGTGAAGAAAGTGTGGTCGATCGGTTCAATTGATTGTTAGTGACGCATCGCCAACCTCTCCCGTCCAACGCAGTGTGGGCGAGGTCTCCGGCAAGGAGACACGAAGTCAGAGGTTGAGCTGCTGCGCGGCATACCGGACTGCAAACGGCCACAGAAAATGGGGAGCCGCCGCATGGATCAAGGAGGTACGCGCGATCTCCATGACCAAGCCAATGCGGCGCTCAGCAACCCCATTTTGCTGCGGTGAGCCCGGAAGCGTGAACGACTTCTCGATGCCCTCCCCCTGACAGAAGGCCCGCAAGAGGTCGGAGGTGAACTCACCACCTCTGTCAAAGTGCAGACGTAGGACAGGAAGGTCCTGGCGGAACCTCCGGCGGAGCTGAAGACGAGCTGCTCGGATCCAAGGGATCAGGACAGCAGGGACCTCACCCTTGGTGCGCAAGTGGAAGACCGTGGTGTAACACGAGTAGTCGTCGACAACCAGCAGAAAGTACCGCTCACCGCCTTGTCCACGAACGCGGGCTGGGCCCCACACGTTCAGGTGGATGGCCTGCAGAGGAGCCTTTGTCGGGGGAAACAAGGAGGAGTGAGGAGCAGCGCGCTGCCGCCCCTCGACACAAGGAAGGCAGGGCGGCACAGGGGAGGCAGGGAGGGGAGGGAGAGACCTGGGAAGACCAGACACTAGGAGGTGACGGTGCATGCCACGGAGACGTGGCAAGGAGGGGTGATCCAGGCGGTGGTGCCAGAGAAGAGTCTGGTGCGACAGGGAGCGACACGAACAAGGGGAGGCTACTTGACCTGACGCAGACACCTGACCAGTAGCAGCTACTTGAGAGGACGCAGTAGTCAGTGTGTAAAGACTCGACCCTGGCTGACGGGTGAACGTGGCCAGGTGACGGCCAGTCCGGGAGCACGTACAAATCGCCACACGCTGTCCTCCAGGGGTAAAGGTATCAACCCATGCATCTTGGAGGACTGCGTTGCTCACCAGGTTCGTAGAGAACGAGGGGAGGTGAAGACCTGACAGTGAGCCAGACGGAACCGCCGGGCACGGAAGCACAGTGGAGGACCGTGCAAGAACTGGGCCCCCTGAGGGGTCAGCCAGAGACACTGCAACAGGTGCAAGGAGTGGCGTGAGTGCGGAACTGTCGCGAAAGAAATAGCGGGAAGCACCTGAGTCAAGCGTGAAGGTGTGCAAGGCCTCAGCAGCCGTAGTACCTGAGAGAGCAGACTCGCTAGCACCTAAGGCAGCAGCTTCACTAGCACCTAGAGCAGCAACCTCTATACCGGGGTCGTACTGCACACACAGGTAACAGTCACCCTCAGCACCACCAGGCAAAGCATACATAGCAGTAAGAATGACGTCATAGTTTAAAGCAAAGACATCAACGCACGACCTAAGCAGCTCAAGTCAGTGGGGGACCTCAGCCTCGTCGCCAAACTCTGCGTGCCAGGCGTCACTCAAATAGGCGAAGCAGCGGGACTGTGCGTGACCAGGTGTCCCACAGGTCTGACCAGCTCGACGACCTGTGCGAATGACGTACGGGCAGCGACCAGGACTCGGAGATGTCCCACGCTGGTAAAGCCACTCACGAAGCTGCTGGGACGTAACGGTCGGACGCCGCCGTAGCTGCATCTGGCCACCGCCAGAAGCTCCGCACCAAACAGCGCCACAGTGACTGCTACTACTGCCGCCACCACTCCCACTGCTGCCACCACCGCCATCACCACTCCCACCGCTACTATAGAGTGAAGTCATGGCGGGCAAGCTAGGAGGAGCGCGACCTCTAGGGCAGTACGGAGTGAAGGCAGTAGCACGAGGAGTAGAGGGCAAGATATTGGTTTGACATACAAGATATAGGAAGGTGGCAAAGGGCGGGTATACCACCAAGAGACAACATTGGATGATACCGCACTAAACTACTAGCTATGCGTGCAATTATGTCAGAATATTATATTCTAACATCCCCCCTTAATTGCATGCAAGTCTAGCTAGGGTAGGGGCACTCAACCCAAAGTGCAGCAATCAACGTGTTGCAGCTGGGCCCACCGCCTCTCATGGTGGGATGCCCGCCTGCGGTGTAACCCCCGCAGTGGATGCCCGGTGTGTGCGTCGAGGGCGACCACACCCAGATACGACGGAACGAAACGAAATGAGACAACGAGTGGTAACAGGAATTGGTGATGCGTGGAGGAGGAAAAAGAAGAGGGAACGGGTGCAGCGGAAGGTAGAGGAGGAACGAGATAGAAACAAAACAAGATGCTCTCATCCCCCCTCAACCTCTCCTCCCCCCCCCCCCCCCACCCCCCCACCGCAGCAACAAGTGCTGCAGGGAGGGAAAGCAAGGAGGAGAGGCAGTTGGTGGCCCTGTGCTGGTCACCCCCGTCACCCCCTCATCTCCCCTCCACATGGTGGAAGCCGCGGAAGGGAAGGAGGGGCGGCACACGCTGCTGCTGCCGGTAGCGCTGTTGTGCCAACACATTACAGTGACACGGCCATCGCACTCCCATTCGGCCTACAAGCCTGCTCAGCTTCTGGAATTTTGTGGGGAGGTTCTTCAACATGTGTTCTTCAAACCCTCAAAGTTTCAGAGTTTTTGAAGCAGTTACCAAGGCATGACAACATTTTATGTTTCAAGACTTATGGCATCCCGGAAGTGTGTGTTACTCCTTTTTGGTAACACCCGAGTTCACCATTTCGGCTGCTGACTCGTCTACCGAGCTCTGATTGGTCTGAAATTTAGTCTGGCAGTCCTTTGCTCCGCTGTGCAGGTGGTCACCAATTTTCAGAACGATCCAACATCGGAGCATTGCGTGACAGCTGCCGAAATTCACTGTTCCGTAGTCATGGTGCACTGTTGGCAGCATTTCCCTTGCCACCCTTTCATTGTTGTCATGCCAATGGTGCAGGGACAGAGAATGAGACAAGAAGTACAGGTGGTCAAGTGGGACTCTACAACCCCCCTTTTGAGAAGTGTGGTCTTCCTGGAACCAGCTTGCAAGAGGGTGCAAGTGGGAAGACAAGCTGACTCACGGTTGGCTTGACTCACAATTGGTTGCCTTGAGTACAGCTCTGAACATCCATGTGTGGTTGGCTTTGCTGACCTAGCTAGGACATTTCCCATCCTTCTCTAGCCTTTCTCCCCTAGGACTCAACCTTCTCTGAGTTCCCAAGATGATCCCAACCCCTTAAGATTCCCCTAGGCAATGTTGTACTCACCTCTTCCTTGCATCAATGAGAATACACGATTTTCAGCCGAGCTTACGTTTTAGTTCACTGCGTAGTGCGTATACCTCTGATATTAGCAAGTAATAAACCGTTGAAAAGCAGACACCTAAAGCTAATTGCTGTCCAAGTTTCAGCCTCGTATCGTATCGGAGCTGGCCGTGACAGTGTTTTGAACAGAGGCGGTTCGAAGTCGTCAGCTTCTACTTAGGCGGTTTCATGGGCATCCGCGACCCCTAAGTGGACTGCAGACTATAACAAGTGGTATCAGAGCTGTTCTACTCTGTTCGTGGGTGAATATGGAGGCTGAAGGTTCTGCTCCAGCTGGTCCTAGTGGCAGTGGTGGCGTGAGAGGCGCTGGGGAAGCGGGAAGAGGCGTTGCAGGCGGATCTGCACCAATGGCTTCCGTTTCAACATCAGCTAAGGATGATGTGAAGGCATTCAACCTGGAGAAGTTCTCTGGGGAGGATTGGGCATCATGGAGCTTCAGGATGGAGATCCTCTTCAACCATTATGGGCTGCTTGAAGTGATGGATGGAGAATTGAAGAGGCCTGCGAGCGAAGGAGCGACCAAAGAATGGGATCGCCGGTCCAAGGATGGATTCTTCCTTCTCTCCCAATGCCTCTCATCCAACCAGCTGCACCACATCAAGCATCTCATCAAGGAAGTTGAGTGTGGTCCTAAGGCATGGAAGATATTGAAGGATGTCCATGCCCCCAGCAGCGAAGCTATGGTGGTGGTGCTCGAGCGACAACTCCATGCGGTGAAGATCAACGAGGGTGATGCCGTACAAGGAGCGTTCGATCAACTCAGGGACCTCTATGTGAAGCTCTCTGCTGCTGGTGTGGACTACCCTGAGAAAATCAAGTGCTACAAGGCTCTCTCCCTGCTGCCGGAGTCGTGGGGGCCCTTGGTGGTCAACCTTAATGGCATGAAGGAC